TTGCTCTGATTGAGTTCTTTGAGGGTGGTTTTACAGTAACAAACGACAGTATTACTGACTACTTTACGACTGCTTCTTTTCGTGATTTTGGATTTTTCACCCATGATTTAGTTATTTTATTTTTTCCGGAAATTCCAATAAGATTTCAATGCTTAATTGTTAGTGAACTGTGTTCGACTCAAATGTACCATTATGGTTCCAAAAAGCTAAATTCAATGGTGCACTTGGTTATAAGTTTTCTCGGTGATATCCTTTGATTTTAAAGCTGTGAAATAATTCTGCTTTGGACTTCGGTTATTCACTCCTATCAGGTTAGCTTTAATCGTCTTTCATGACCATTCTAGGAATTGACGTAGTGCATACTTGCCATACGCGTTTGTTTAGCATTTATTACTGTGGCTGCGCATCCCACACCACAGATCAACTAAGCATCTGATTAGTTTTGACCCTATGCATTTTTAAAATTGCCTTTCTATAGTCGCGTTACAATGCCTAAGGGTTTAAGTTCAATTTCTGGGACAGTATAAGGCTACCGGCTACTACTTTGCTTACTGTGGTGATCCCTGTTTAGCAGATTGGGCGTAATTGTAGTGATAGTAAAGCTCTCGTGCGTACGTGTGAATGCATAGCTTCCCGTACTGCAAACTGTCAGTGGCCATAAAAGCCTACTAGGTATTCGATTTGCCAAAGCAGACAGATTTTGGCTTCTAGTGAACATTGTCTTTAAAGATTGATGTCCCGTTTTCATGTGCACGTATTTAAACTAATGGTTCGGCTTTCTTGGTCTAGGAACCGTCCATCATTCAAAGAGGCTGTTCAGAACATTCAATGCATGCCACAATGTAGCGGTCTGGATTTGAATTCATTTCTGGTGCTACCGATGCAGCGCGTGATGCGCCTGCGTCTCCTTGTGGCTGCGGTCGTTCACTATACCCCGCGTTCCTCGATCGCCTACGAAAGCGGTCTTGTGGCTCTTGCCTCGCTAGAAAAGGTCCTCCTTCCCCTTCTTTCTAAGCGATGTGCTAGCTTCTTGGCTTATCTGTTACACTTTTTGATCTGTCACCTATACGTTCAGTTCCCTACCAACGGTAGTGATGAGCTACTTAGTGCGGTTTGCTAACTTTTGTGGGCTTTCGTGCAATGCTAGTATGGGGCTAACCTAGTTATTCCTTAATTTTCATCACTGTTTCAACGAGTGTTGTTTAAATAGCGAAAGCATTC